TCACAGCGGCTGCTGGCTACACACGGTAGCCCATGGCAACCCACTGCCACAGGGGCTGCAGCCCAGCTCCAGGTTGAACTGTTGTTCAGCATCTTAGCTGTAGAGGGCAGTGTCACTGGCCCTCATATGTGGGATCCAAACCGGGGCCCTCTGGCATCCCAAGCCAGCTCTTAACCAACGCGCCACTCAGCTGGCCCCCAACAGGTTATTGGTAGAACTAAAATAATAACCCACATCTTCAGCCTTCTTTCTTGTTCAATGTTCTATTAGCACTCTTGTTCACTCTACCAGCACACAACTGCATGAAGCCATTTTGTTTTCTGCCATATCCGTGGCATCTAGAACAGTGCCTGGCACACAAATAAGAGCTCAATACATATTTGCTCAATAAAGGAATGAATATAAGATCTCATTAGTATTTAATAAAAGTGCTATTCAATTACACTTAACTATTATTGGCAGGTCCAACTTAATATCTGGTTATGATTTAAATGGGCTAGCTCTCTTGGCAACATATCAGATATAAATTATGCTTAATTATATTAATAATATAATTATTACTAGATACAGCTGTTGGGGGTGGGGAAAGGCATAGTGAGAAGAGCCACACAGGTGAATGGGAAGAGATGAGGACGTGGTCAGGAGACCAGAGCATTGGTTGGTATATACACGTCATATCCCAACCACAGAAGGGGTAACACTCATCATTTGGTGGCAGTTATTGGAGGTCAACAGTCCAGAGAGAAACTAAAAAACTCTCTTGATAACATAACTTATTGTGATGGTGCAACAGAAGCATCGCACAGCATATCCCTTTAGAGAAAAGGATTTATTATTTATTTATAAATTTAGATGTCTAATGTGATTTATTTTTGAAAATGAATTGCAAATAATGGCACACTGAAATTTGAGTTAAATATTGTGACAAAGCTCTTAAAATTTAAGACAGGCTGACATTATTTATATTTTACACATATTACTAGTCTTCTTTATTCAAAAATAAAACCAATCTTCTAAATTTTTGGAATACAGAAAGTTGTGTGTATGACAATAAATTATTTTCCTGACTTATCACTGGTTCTGATATGTTAAAGTGTAAGTCAAATTTCTGTGGTTAGCACAATTTAAAAATGAAAACAGTAGCTAATATTGTATAATATACTTAAAAACTAAGTTAAGTATACTTAAATATTTGAATAGTTTACATGTATTGAGCACTTACTTCGTGCCATGAACTGTACTAAATGCTTTATGTACATTACTTCCTTTACTCTTACAAGTCTATCCAAGTTTGGTGGTAACAACCCCAGGTAAAGATATAGAAGCTAATGTTGAATAACACACCTGCCTCTGGGCATATGGGTATGCTATTTAGTCTCTCTGGACCCCAGTCTCTTCTTCCATGAAGCAGAAATAATAATCCTGTCTCTCAGGGTTCTGGATGTAAGTGGGACATGGGACAACACATCTAAGATAGTGTTTGACATAGAAGACACTATATTGAATCATCCCCTTCTAAGTGCTGCCCTTTCAGCTGGAGACAGCAGAAACTCCTTGGCTGAGTATAGACTAGAGAAGATAGGCTGCTCGTATCAGAAGTCATTCCTGACCGAGAGAAAAGTAAGGAAACCAAACAGAGCCCCCAGAAATAGTCCTCTCAAACTCAGTATTGACACCAACAGTGTCATTTACCCACTTTAAGACACAAAAGCTGGATCTCGCAGAAGCTTTATAATTTAATGACAGGCTGACTTTCTTGGTCATTATAAAGGTATTTTTCTTTTGTACTGAGAAAAAAATATGGGCAACAAAATAATTCAGTTCCAAGGGGGGTATTTTGATGGGAATAATCATAACTAACAATACTATAGAAAAAATTATTCTAAAATATTGAACCCCACGCATCCAACAAAAATTTTTGCATGACATTCTATAAACACAAAAGAATAAGGAATTAAGTACTAATATTTATTGTGTAGCTACTACGTACCAGGCACAAGATATCTATATCTATATCCATATATATATATATATATCCATATATATATGTCTATATCTATATCTATCTATATATCTACAGATATGTATATAGTTATATATAGACATAGATATAGGTATAGATAGATAAATATAGAAAGATCTATCTATCTATCTATCTATCTATCTATCTATCTATCTATCTATCTGTCTTATTTAATCTTAATCCTATGAGGTAGGAACTATTGTTATCTCCCTATAGATAAGACAGGATAGAAGAGTTTACCATAAGTGAGCAAGGTCCCATGTCTAGTGTACGATTGTACTAGGATTTGAACTGAAATAGCATGGCTCTGGGGTCCCTCTTTTTCGCCACCATGCTAAGTGCCTACGCTAGCTTACTTAGAATGAAAATACCCAGTGTTGGCAAAGCTGTGGTTTTTGGTAGGGAGTAAATACCTATCACTACAATCTTTTCAGATAGTAATTTGTCAGTACAGATGAAAAATTTGATCTTGTATAGCTTTTGTCTCAGTAATTGTACATTGGGAAAATCTATACTATAGAAATAAAAGCACTAGTACCAAATGATTGATAGATGCGTATATGCGTGCCTCCCACGAATGCTTATTTTGGTATTTTTTTACTGGCAAAACATTGCAAGATCATCTGAATATCTGTCAACTGGGAAACATTATAAAAGAGCATGTTAATATATGGCCATTATATTAAGCAAAAAACCAAGCTTCCTCTTTTTAATGTACAGAATCTATTTCAGATGGATATATAATACATACCTCAAATTTAACCTCTACATTTTTGCCTCCCTATTAAAGAATAGTATTTTCCAACAGACCATAGTAGATGGGCCCACTATCCAAAAATTTAGGGTTATCCATGATTCTCTATTTCCCCTCAGCTCCCACCTTTAATCAATCAAGTCTGATTTAACATCCAAAACATCAAGAGTCAGCTCACGTTTCTTTGCTTTCACTACCAAACAAAATCTCATCCAACCACAATCAGATCTCACCTGGGTTTCTGCCTTCCAGCATAATACTTTTACCTTCCTGTGGTCCAGTCTCTACCTAGTAGATTCTACATAAGGTCACTTCACTCCCCTGTTATAAACCTTCTAGCGGCCTCTACTGCACGTAGACTAAAACCCAAATTTCTTACTATGACTCACAAAGCTCCTCTTTCTCTCTTCTCATAACATTCCTCTACTCTCAGGCTCCCAATATGCTCCCAGCCACATTCCTCAAACACCTCCAGCTCCTTCTCACTTGAGAGCTATTTTTGTCCCCTCTGCAGGGAAAGGTCTTCCCCCTTATTTTTGCACGTCTGGCTCCTCATCATTTTGATCTTGTTTAAATTTCACCTTGTCCAAGAGGCCTTCCCTATGACCAAACAAAGTGGTCACAAGCCACACTCCCTATCTTAATGATCTGCAAGGCACTGATCACTACTGATAATTCTCTTCATTTATTTATTTGTTAGTTAATTTTGTCATTAGGATGTAAACTGAACCATGGCAGGGAGCCTTATCTGTTTTATTCACATCTATATCTCTAATACCAAAAATAGTGCCTGACACAGAATACGCACTCATTGAGCATTTGTTGAATGAGAAGAATGTGTATTCTATAATCAGATATTTCCTAAGAGTGACACTATTCATATGTAGCTGTTTATGTTTGTTATAGAAGCAAAGGAAAAAGTATGGGGAGATAAATACTAAACAGTAAATATTAACTTCCTTGGAGAGGTGGGGCAAGGAAAATCAACTTTTTCTTCTAATAAATACGTATTGTTTGATTAGTTATAATAAGTATGTATTTCTTTTTGAAATAAAAAAATAATTCAATAAATAAAAAATGTAAAGAATATTCCCTGAGCTGGGAGTCTTCCCCCCTCATCTCTAGAGCACATCAATATGATAGCACTCTTGTTGTATTAGCAATTTCCCTATCAATAAATGAAAGTAATTATTTCAAGTTACCTGTGATCATAGATATTAAAGTGTTTTGAAACCATACAGAAAGAGGTACGATTCAGTCATTAAAAAAAGGAATTTTCTAATAAATTCTGAAATGTCCAATTAGGACAAATTGTATGTCTAGAAAAAAACTTTCAAGAACTTTGAGGCCTTCTCTGTCTTCCTTGGCCTGGGAACAGCTCTTCTGCCACAGCCCCTCATCCTGTGAAAATGTGCGTCTGCGCCAAGTTTGTCTCCACCCCCTCCTTGGTCAGGAGCACGTCTCAGCTGTTGAGCCGATCACTGTCTGCAGCGGTGCTGAAAAGACCAGAGACACTGACAGACGAGTCTTAAGCTTGGCAGCCCTACATATTCTGACCTCACTTACGTCTAGCCACAGCTTCCAAACCAGCACCATATAAAGGGACATCGACACAGCAGCCAAGTTCATTGGGGCCGGGGCTGCCACTGTAGGCTCTGGGAATGGAATTGGGACTGTTTGGGAGCCTCGTCATTGGTTATGCCAGGAACCCTTCTCTGAAGCAACAGCTCTTCTCCTGCGCCATTATGGACTTCGCCCTCTCAGAGGCCATGGGGCTCTTTTGCCTGATGGTGGCCTTTCTCATCCTCTTCACCATGTGAAGGCGCCGTCTCCACCTCCCATAGTTCTTTCTTCCCGTATCTTGTCTGCCCTGTATGTCCCTTTTCCTATACCTCCCCAGGCAACCTGGGGAAAGTGGTTGGCTCAAGGTTTGACAGAGGTTAGACAAATAAATACTGTATTAATAAGGGGGAAAAGAAAAACTTTGAGGAAGGTAATACTCATATGGTTAATTTCTAATGTGTTTGTTTAACATTGTTTTATATTACTTTATAATCATTACCTCAAACACTTTTCTATTTTAACTAGGGACATGCCCTAGTTAATACAGTCTATGAGTTTGGATTACAGCATACTGAAAATCAAAAATGTCAGATTTGGAAAAAATGATCATGACAAATCCATCGAATGTATTCACTATAAGCTAATTAGGAGCCATCTTACCTCAATAAAAGATGGAGAACTTGATGGTAATGGAAAGGGAGTAACGGCCATCTGATTGACTGCGTCTTCATTTCTGTGGGTGTTAAAATAGGCAGAATCAGTACACATTAAATGCTAAGTTCCTGGCTCAAATCATAATCATTACCTCAGTTGAAAATGCATGCACAGCACTATAGAAAAAAATATATATATATTTATATATAAAGATATACTGGTTTCAAGCATGCAAAATTATTAGGCACAAAAAAGAGATGTATTACTCAAGGGATACTAAGATACAATTATTAGTGACAAAGAATGATGATGCTAGGAGCTGGCCAAATCCTGTTTAGTAAGTCAGGTGCTGCAGAGGATAATTTTGGAAAGGCATCAACTCTTTCGGCACTGAGGAGTATAAATTTTTCAAATGGGTGTGTGTAACCTCTAGGCCTCACTAATGTCTAGAGCATTTTGTTCTTTGAACTGGAAAGGTTCCCAGCCTCCTCACTTGGCTTCTAATTTTGTGCTGCCAAATGAAGGATGATGGGATGTATGACAGTCCTCACGGGGGGTGGACTCCGGATGGGGGAGTGATGGATGGGGAGAGCAGAGATCCAGACAGACAATGCTTTGTGGGTTAGCCTAACTCTACTCCTCATCATCCTAATGGAACCAGAGGAGGTAGGGGCTGAAACTTCATCACCAGGGTGACAGGCACAGAACAAATCCTAGAGTAGCAGTTTTGATTATTTGGGCTTACTCCACTATGTTAGTAGCAAATGGTAAGCAGTGGTTCTCTTGGAGAGTTATCTTTACTCCTCATTCATGATGCACGACCAATATAATTATCTCAAGATTTATGTTAAGTTTGACTTTGAAGTTTCACAATATAAACCAAGGAAACACACACAAAAAATACCTCTTACTGGTGTGTAAAGATCTAAGACTATTCACAAATATGACCAGTGTATATAGAATAGCCACTACGAGACTTAGAAGGGCACTCAAAATTCCACTCCATTTTATGGAAAAAGATCCATTGGTCTATATCATCCCTCCTTTGGGGGCTTCAATCATATCACTGCTTTTACCTGAAATGCCTTTCTTTATTAAATTTATACCCCACCCATTCTTCTCCTCCAGTGTGAGTTCAATAACTTCACCTAGGTGAATTATTCCCCTAAGTTCAAAGACTATCTGTATGTTAATATCTTCCAAATTCACATAGCCCAAATGTTTTTCTGAGCTTAGGATCTGCATATTCAACTCCCACTACGTCTCCACTAGATGTCTTACAAACATCTCAAATAAAACTGAGTTCTTTATCCCACCCAGTCCCCAAAGGGTTCCACAGTCAATTTCCTCCCTACCTGTGTAAATGTCAACAATATCTGCCCAGTTGTTCAACCAAGAACCTGAACGTCATTCTTCAAACCTTGCACCCCTCAAATGTATACCCAATCCATCAAGTTGATTCTACCTTTAAAATGTATCTCGAATCTTTGTACTTTTTTCCATCTTATCCTAATGCAAGCCATCATCATTTCTCACCAGATTAATGTAAGAGCATACTATTTCGTCTCCCTACTTAAACTCTTCATCCTCTTTCTAGTCCATTCTTCACCCAACAGAGTTATTATGGTTTTAAGACATAAATATGATTAGATTGGGTTGTTGGAAAAGTCATGATGTATTTTTTTCTCTGTTTTTCGTTGCAAAAATGCATCATGACTTTTCCAACAACCCAATATTTCAATCCCCTCTTTAAAATCTTCCTATGGCTTCTTACTGCAGTTAGGATCAAGTCCAAAATTGGTAGGGAGGCTTTCAGGCCTTGCGCAGTCTGGCCCCAGGCCCCATCTCTGGCCTCATCTTGTTCGCTCGTTTCCTTGCTCACTTTGCTCCAGCCCAACTATATAGGCTTTCTTTTCATTTCTCAACTGAGCCAAGTTCCACCCACCTCAGGGCCTTCTCTCATCCTCTCTTCTGTTCTGCATGCCTGTTGCCCAAATCCCTTGTCTGATTTATTCCTATTTCTCCTTGATAGCTCACCATAAATGTCACTTCCTGAAACAAGCCTTCCAAGACCTCCATTATATGCTTATAGCACCCTATGCAATGATTATAGATGTGTTTCATTCATAATTTACCTAACTGATTCGTATGAACATTTGCTTTAAATCCGTCTTCCCCTCAGATGGTAAGCACTCCAAGGACAAGACTCATGTCCTTCCAACTCTCTATTATATCATCTCAGGAAAACACAGTGCCTCGAAAATAGTTTTTACTTAACATGGCTACTTTTAAAAAAATGTAATGATCACTCATTTCCATAAGGAGTTTCAGTTCTAGCACTACCAGTAACTAATTACAGGATTTGGGGAAAATAACTTAGAAGAGAACCAGTTTCCTGATCTCTTCAGTAAGTAGGTTGCACTGTACAAATCCTAAACTGATATAAATTCTTATGGAATGAAGCAGACGATAAATAAAGAGACGAAGCCTAGGTGCCATGTCTTGCTCTGACTTTCTCAGATTCTTGGATTATCTAGGACACCAGCCAAACCAAAGCAAAGGGGAGAAAAACTAAAATTATAAAGTGACACAGAGCATGAAGAACGTATTTTTTCCCCTGACATCATTATAAATGCCTTGAGCGTGCACTACTATGTTAAGAGATGGCTATTGTTTCTTCAGGGAGTACAATCCATTCCTTAGCAGTTTGTTCATACAGAGAAGTAGTCAGTTACTCTTGAGTAAATAATAGCCTTTTCCCAGTGGTAATTCCCTTTCCTGTTCAGTTTCCTCCATTGAATAACACAATAGAACTCAGCTCTAGCTTAGAGCTGAAAGCCAACAGGACATATAGGTCTGCTCAAGGTTCAGAGCCCACGGGGCAGAGTATATTTGACAGTAATTAAGCAGATGGCTTTTCATATCTCTTTCAAAGGTTAGCAGCATTAAAAATATGGCTGCACATAAATTCTTATTGAGAATCATAATTAACTGGATCAAGCTAGTTCAACTCAGTCACGTTATCCCTTCATAATTTAAAGATTTCCCCCAAATTAGGATGACTTTAATGGCCTCTGAAATCTATATTAATTTTTTTTAAACCTTACAGAATAGAAAACCTACAGCTATTCTCAATGAAGAGAAGACAGCTGCTATAAGAAGTTACAGTTCATAATCCTTTATAATCTATTTACTAGTGAGTGTTCACACACATCAGCGTCAAACAAGTGGAGACCTGATGTGGCAGCAATTTTAAAAACAAAGAAGTAGGAAGAGAGAGACCAAAGGAGAGAAGGCACATAACTTCCAACACGCAGTTAACCTGAATGGCTGCTGGGGACCCTCTGACTCCTCATATTCTATGATTCTCATAAGGAATGCAATCTGTTTTCTTTATAATTAACTTTTCCTTTTCAATATAATTAAGTTTTTTAGGCCCCTGTGTCCCATCCAGGACACAATCAGGAATTGTAATTGCTCATTGGTGTTTTTATAATTATCTTGAACAGCTGTTGGGAGAGAGATAATGGAGTTTTACCATGGATAACAGTGAAAACAGTTTTTTAGGTTAAGAAACCCTATAAGTATATCTTCTTAATCACTGTGCTTGCTGTGCTCGATTACAACTATTTGTGCTGTTCTTTCTCCCTCTCGAAACACAGGGATGGGATTTTATTTCTTTGTGTCCCCAGTTTGTAGCAGGGTACTTGACAGACACTAAGTTTACTATAAATATCTGTTGAATGAAAGTGATCTTAACAAGGCAGGGAAAAGGTATGAAAGCAGAACTATCAAAACTATGCCCTGGGCTTTCCAAGTACTTAAACTAGTTAATGACACAGTGCTACCTGCAGCACCCAGTTGTCAGTATTTACCACATTAATGGACCTTTCTTGGGGTGTCTGCCCAGATCACAGTGATCCCCTGAATGGACTACAGTAGCAATGTCTACACCATGTAATACTAATAGCCTGACTCAACCTCAGTGGATGTCAGAGGCAGACACCTGCCTCAGTTTGGGTCAATAGATTCTCTCTACCAGGGACTCCAGATTTAGAACAGACACATAGAGATCAGGAGTGTAGTATCTAGATAATACCAATGGAAATGCTCAGGGATAAACAGAGGGTTCAGGACTCCCTTCTGCTGATGCCTGTAGAGTCGCCCTGGTTCCTTCTCTTCAGATTCTTAGTTGTATGGCTCCTTCTTAGGAGTCCATGAGACAACCCTGTTTCGTACAACCCATTCCCCTTCTAATTTAAGCTGGCTAGAATTTACTTTAATTGGTTGAAACTTTATTTTATTTTATTTTTTAAATTAGTTTTAGGTATACAACACAGTGCAATAGTTATACTTTTTACCCCTAAAAGTGACAACCCCACTCCCCCACTCCTCGATATCATACATATCTATTACAATTCCATTGACTCCACTCCCACACTATACTCCACATCCCGCGCCTACATATATATTCAATTATAATTGACATACAATATTGTGGTCAATAAGCTTGAGGTATACAGTGCAGTGATCAAGCCTCTACCCCATCCATGAAGTGGTCTCCCTGACAAGACATGTGATCACCTGACACCCTACAAAATATTTACAACATTATTAATTATATTCCCTGAACTGTCTTTCATATCCCTGTGGCAATATTGTAGTTACCTATTTATGCTGTCTCATCCCTTCCCCTTCTCCCTCATCCCCACCCCCTCCCAACCAGCAACCATTAGTTGTTCCTCTATGTCTCTGAGACTATTTCTGTTTACTTGCTCGTTCATTCAGTTTTTAGATTCCACATATAAGTGAGATCATATGGTATTTGTCTTTCTCTGACTGACTTATTTCACTTAGCATAATGTTCTCTAGGTCCATTCATATCGTTGCAAATGGTACGATTTCATTCTTCTTTATAGTGGAGTAGTACTCCATTGTGTAAATGTACCACAGTTTCTTAATCCAGTCGTCTACTGATGGGCTTTTCGGTTGTTTCCAAGTCTTGGCTATTGTAAACAGCGCTGCAATAAACATAGGGGTGCATATATTTTTTCGAATTAGCGTCTTGGGTTTCCCTGG